CCCCAAAACCCCAAAACCCCAAAACCCCGTATAAAATAAAATTTTTTTTAGCAGAAAATGATAGAAAATTTATTTATTCGGTTAAATTAATATTTAATTACTGACAAAAATAATCATTTAAAAATGAATCAAACTGACGAAATGTACCCTGCATAACCTATCTATGAAGATATTGAAAATCAAATAACAACAAGACATCAAAATTTTATTGAACATAAAATCATTGAGATTATTTAACCATTATAGTAAATGAAAACTATAACATAGAAAAATTAATCTATTCTTGAACATTATACCATGTAGGAATTTGAAAATTTGGAGATAGAAAGCTTATAAAAGTTCAGCCATGCTACTAAATTTAAAGATTACTTTGATGATTCGGATAGCTCGAGTTATTATCCATATCGTGCACTGTTAAATAAAATTCCAAATAGAATTATTTTAGGAAATGAAACTAGGAAATAAGATAAATTAGAATACCATTAAATTAATGAACTTCATTCTGAAAGATTTACTGCTTAATATAAAAAATTTTCATAAAAAAAGAAATATGCAACTAAATTTCAGAATTCTAACTAAATATCTTCTAATCTTGATAAAAGTTTTTACATAGAACAAATGAATACTAATAACCTCAGTTTTATTTAGGAAAAGCAGCAATTCAAGTAAATGGTGTAAAGATGCTTGAATAAGAAGGAAGATGAAAAAGAATAAGAGTTTTATTAACCTAAAAGAGCGAAAAATTTAGTTGATGATTAAGAGAGAGAGATAATTCCTTTAGTTCCTCGGCGCTTTTTACTCAGAAACGGATCTAAAAGATAACAACGTAGAGTTGTAACTTGCTAAATATGCTACTCGGACTAGTATTAATCTGGTATGGTTCTTCTAAACTGTGGGCATAGTTATTGCGTTATTTGTTTGAACTAAATGATACTTTATGCTATTGACTAATCAGGAGAGGTCCATAAATTAAAATGCCCTGATTTCAATTGCCCAGCTGTCCTACCTAGAGATACCATTGAAAGCTTAATTGAAAGAAGCGGAAAATTCCCAAAATATCTTAGGATCATGAGAAATTATTACCTAGTTCTCGAAAAAACTAAAAAGTTTTGTCCCGCTCCGAATTGCGATAATGTTCTTGAGAAAAAAGGATTAAACTCTAAAATAAATTGTGAACAATGCAAAAACTTAATTTGTTTTGACTGTCATTGTGTCTGGCACATTGGATAAACTTGCAGATAGTACATAAAAAAAACATAAATCAATTGGGCTCTAAGAGATGAGAATACCTAAAAATGTCCACAATGCAAAGTAATTATAGAGAAGGATGAAGGATGCAATCATATGACATGTTATAAATGCTAACATTATTTCTGCTGGGGCTGTGGATTCCCTGTAAAGCATTTTATTCATGATAAAGACATCTAAACGTTTTATACATATGGAATATGCTTGAAAGAAAAATATAAGACTATATCTATCAGAAAGTTAACCTTTATTTATCTATTACTGGCCATTGTAGCTCAATTTTTATCTTTTCTTGTCTTACTTATTGGAGGAGCATTGTTTTGGATTGCTGGACCCTACTTCTTATACGGGGATATATTAAAATATTTGAAAGGCCCAGTTGTTAAAGCTGTAGTTATTTACTTACTTGTAATCTCCTATCCTATTTGCATTTTTCTAGGATTATTAACTGGCGGATTGTTTGGATCTCTGTATTTGGCCGTTGGTTTCTTTCCGATTGGTATAATTCATTCCTACTATTTGATTAATATAATACGCTGGAGGAGATAAGGTAGAAGTTTTAGAGGTAAATGATCTCCCAAAAATTTGATTTATCATTATTTTAATCTGAACTGATATAATTAGTTTTAAATTGAAAATTCTTATAATTTCCCTTTTTTTGAGATATATATTTTTAAGGGGTTTTGGGGTTTTGGGGTTTTGGGG